CAAGAAAAGGGTAGATGAGGCATTGAGGAACATGGTTAGTGGGCATGGTGGGGATGAATTGATGGTTGGACTTGATGAGTCTTGGTGGTCTTTCCAACATTACTGATTCTGTGATTTTATGTTTCTTTTGGGCAAGATGGCTTAGACAAGCGCAGAGATGGCAGTTATGAACAAAGGTTGTATAAAGGAAAGTTTTATTAACAAAACAAACAAAACAACAGCAACAACAACAAAATGACACTGAGGATGAAGAACTGGAAATTGATGTCAGGAAGAAAAGTAAGCTAAATGTAGTGAGTTTTAAAGTGAAGGAACTGATGCCAGATATCTGGATCTGGATAATGAGAATTCTCTTTTGGGCCAAAAGAAAAAAAAAAAGAATGAAAAATAGTTTTGAAGAGTTGGCTTTCTCAGCAAACATGCCTATGGAGCAGTCAGCAAAACTTGGGCTCTAGTTTCCTTCTGTAGAAAGTGGAGATCCTCTCAATGCCACCAGTGATCATGAGGGAGCAATATGAAGCAAAAATATGAAAGCTTCCCTCATGTAGATGCTCTGGATGAATCATACAATCATAGAATCAACGAAGTTGGAAACGACCTCCACCATCATCCAGACCAACCATCCACTTACCACCAATATTTCCCCAGTAAACCATGTCTCCTAGTACAACATCTAAATGTTTCTTGAAGTGCACAAGAAGTGCACAGGAGAAGACACATTAACTGAGAGCCTAGTGAAGGGCACAGGCTGCTAACAGATGGATGGATCATTGTGAAACCCTTGTTTCCCTATAGGATGTCTGCATTTCATATAATTATAAAATGGCTTGGGTTGGAAGAGATCTCAAGGATCATCAAGTTCCAGCCCCCGTGCCACAGGCAGGGTTGCCAACCCCTAGATCATGTGCTTGATTAGATTGCCCAGGGCCCCATCCAACCTGGCCTTAAATACCTCCAGGGATGGGGCATCCACAACCTCTCCTGTTCCAGCATCTCATCACTCTCTCAGTAAAAATCTTCTCCCTGACATAAGAAAATAAATCAAGAAAATGGAAAATGCTTTGGTGAGATCTAGGCTCATGGTACTGGCCATAAATAGCAATACTAAAACTGTACTAAATAATTTTAGGAGCAACCCCATGCAATATCACATGATCTACATGTTTCATACCTGGGAAACAATAACTCAGTATTTCTGATCCGTCTCCAGTTTTGACTGTGAGATAACATGATGAGATTCTCAAGAAATCATAACTAGACATGTATGGGGCATTATAAAGGAAGCAAAGCAATTAGCTCAGGGCTAAGACCACACAGCCTCTGAGAGATTTCATCCCACTCTTCAGCAGAGTCTTCTTGAGTGCATCTCTGGATGCATTCAAGGCCAGGCTGGATGTGGCTCTGGGCAGCCTGGTCTGGTGGTTGGCGACCCTGCACACAGCAGGGGTGTTGCAACTAGATGATCATTGTGGTCCTTTTCAACCCAGGCAATTCTATGATTCACGATGGCACTTCACTGGGGACTCATTCAGGTATAGCAGTGATGAGGGCTGTAACACTTATATGAGAGAGAAGGAGATGGGAGGCTCTCATATTGCTGAGACTTCGTTACTTCTGCTACAGCAAAACACATTTGCAGGCATTCTATGAGGAGTTATAAATAAGGAAAATTAAACTAGCAACAATCCAATGAGTGCAGCTCATTTCTTGTGGTGTTTTCACTACAAAAGCTCTCTGACTTGATAACTGGCAAAATGTGGTGATTTGAGGAGTGCATCACTGCTGATATGAGTAATTGGCAAGAGTGGAGGATATTATTTTTAAAGGGTTGACTCATTTGGAAGCATTTAAGGAATAGAATGAAGCGACACACACAAAATTAATCAACAAGAGTCAGCTTTCACATATGCCCTGCTACAGATTAAACTGGATTTTAGCTCCTCTGGAATCTGAACCAACTCCCCTCATAGGGGAAGGCTTAATTTATTATATCCCAAAGACAAATGGCATAGAATTGTGCCTTTCCTTTATACAGTAGTTGATAATGGGTGCTTTTACTTCCCATCCATGATGTAAAAAAATGCTCTTCCAGCATAGGTGATGCACACTGCAGAGAAAGGACAAAGAGAAACTGATCAAAATTGGCAAGGACCCTTCTGCTTGCTTCCTGCAGCAGAGTCATCTCCGAGCAGGTTGATGTTGTACCCTCACATTTATAATCCTGAGCAGGCACCCAGAGCTGACTGGGCAGGGCTTGTCACAGGCTACAAAATGAGTTGTGTTTGAATTTGAACCTGGAGCCTAGTCCAAGTTCTTAGCTTTTATGCAGCACATCACCTAATGAAATTGCCTTTTTCCCCCCGTTTCAATTAGAAAGAACATTAGGTCAATCAGATAAAGCCACATTGGGAGGATTTCCTCTTTATGGCGCTTGCCTCTTCAATTATCTATAATGAACTTCCTCACAGCACTGCAAAGCTTTTTATATGCAAACGAATCCTGTTTTGGGGCTGCCACAATCACTGCTTGTTAATGAACTTGAAACAAGTGTTATCGGAAAGGTTACAGCACCAGTGGTGGGGGGAATGGGATAAAGCTAAACAAGAAAGACCAGCCTGCAGAGCTGGGATTGGCCTGCAGGTAACATAGTTGACTATCTTCAACTCCCGTCCTCCAGTCCCCTTCAAAGGCTTTTCTATTTGACAGACATCAGGCAAAATGCCCACTCTTGGGACATGGCTGCTCAGCAGCAGATAGGGCTTTCCCATCCTCCTGTCCCACTGATTCACTCTGCCAATGCGTCTCTGTCTCTCAACCACTCTAGCTGGGGGAAGAAAATAATGAAAAAGATGGTGCCAAGGTCTGTTCTTATGCCCAAAGAGAGAAAGGGAGCTAATTTGTAGACCATGGAACATGTTGGATAGGCAGGATTGTGCAAGAGAAAATATGCAGGTGTGGAAGATGTAAGGTCCCAAAAGGTATTTCCGTATGGTGTCAGGTGGAGTGATCACAACTGGACATCTCACACTTACTTTAACATAGCCCAGACCACTGGGGTGGTCTTTCCCCTGTCCTCTGGGGTGTTACTGGGCTATATCACACAGGGTTAGGTTATGCCTCACTTCCTAAAGCTGAATAGCTACTTAACCTTGCAGCTAACGTACATAAATGCCTTGATAGGATAAGAGCATTGAACCCAAGGCTAGAAGGACTTTCTACACTGTCCACCATTGTCCTCCTGTTAAGAGAAACACTTCAAGTTCAACTATTGTGTCTCAGCATTAGCAGTTCCCTGGGAATATTTTGTCATGGCGCGGGACAACAGCAAGAGCAGGGAGTGTTGGAACAAGGTGTAGCTCCTCAGGGATTCCTGAGTGTTTCACCAAGCCTCCTTCTCCACTGCTTCTGTCTTGTGTCTTGTGATGGAGCACAAAGTTAGTGAAGTGCTGCACAACACCAGAGCTCCAAGACAACAGAGAAACACTGTGTTAGAACTCATCACTGTGCAACCAGATCCAAGATAATTCACCTTCATTATGCTCCAGTGACTGTGTGCTGGGCTGTCCGTGTTCTGATGTTAGCCTGGGCAAGGCAAATTGAGATCCATCAGCAGTTGTCAAGTACTTACACCATTAGCATCCACCAGTAAGCAAAGATAAGAAATCAGGTTGCCCTAGAGCTCTTAAATCCCCAGTAGCAAAGACAGACAGACACTCTTTGGGCACTGAGGAAGGCTTCCAGACTTCATTACAGCTGTGTGCTGGGTGGATGCTGGATTTTCTTCCTGCCCCTGGCCATGGATCAGCTCACACCCACAGTGTGATGATTGATATCTCTTGTAATTCTGTTTCTGGTTGGTCTAAGTGCAGATGTTACACGTCTAATCCATTTCTTTATCTTCCTAAGCTGTTTGCTTCAGTAAAATGTTTCCACCATCTGCTCTAACAAGCTCCCAGGCTCTCATAAGCCATAAATTCCATTTCCAAGTCCTTAAATTCCTTTTCTTATTCTTCAGCCCTGGATCAGTATTTGTATCTTCTTGTTGTCCACTGTCACAACTACAGGTTAAGCATGTATCTGTTTAGGTAGAAGTTCTCCCTGTCTCTGCTTGTACCAACTGAATCTGACTAGGGTTGCTCTTGGGATGGCGACTATTTAAGGAATCCCATTTTACATAAAAATGACTTGGATTAGCAAGAAAAACACTGTAGTAATTTCCCAAAGGATTGATAGCTTCCAGGTCTAATGGTGCCATGAAGAAGCAGTACTTTGCTGCTGTAACTAAAGCTGTGCAAATTCATCTCACTTTGAATGTGGCTTTCTCCATCACAGATTTGGGTGCCCAGCCTGCTACATGGCTGAGTTAACCACATCCACCAAGCACTGAGCCTTTTTGGAAACAATTGCAAATCTTTCCTGGAGATCTTCACATATATTAAGTAAGAATCGTTTTTTGGGAAAATAATATAGGTATTATTTTATATATAATAATTATTCTGTCCCTTTCTAAGCCAAATCAAATTATTTTTTAAATAGCCCAGACTCTGGTTTACAGTGTCATGCTTGAGCTAGCTGGATCTGTGCCTTTTGCACAATGGCGCATTGGTTTTTTGGAAGGAGGCAGGGAGTTTTGCTGTGATTTTGTGATTTCTTCACTTCTTGTGCCATGGCATCGTGACCAGGCAAAGTCCCTGAAGAGGGCAGAACTGCTTTTCTACTAACTCATTAATGGAGCAGGCATTAAGAAGCACCAGAAGTAGCATTCTTGGGTCATGAAAGTCAAGGGTCTCCAGTGAGAAAAAGGAGATGGGAAAAGTCTGTAAAAGCACTCCTTCCTCACGTGTTTATCTGAGCCTTCTCAGTAATACCCCACGAACCCTTTGTAATAGGCTGATATGGAGGGAGGCGCAACAGCTTTGTAAAAGTGAGAAGACTGAGGACTCCACACAGGTTTGGGAAAATCATGTGTTGACTTATTGCGTGGTATTCTTTCTCCCCAGGACTGCCCACAGCTGCTGCAGGCCGACAAGATCCTGGTGCCAGTGGAAGTGATCAAACCGATCACGCTGAAAGCCAAAAACCTGCCCCAGCCACAGTCTGGCCAGCGAGGCTACGAATGCATCTTGAACATCCAGGGCAATGAGCAGCGGGTGCCCGCCTTGAGGTTCAACAGCTCCAGCGTGCAGTGCCAGAACACTTCGGTGAGCAAGCCCTGCTGCCTGTGGCATGTCTGGGAGGGCAAAGGAGGACCATGAGTGCTGAAACCTTGTCTGTCTTCCCATATACCCAATTCCAGCTAAAGTCAGGGGAAGATTGGTTGGTAGATTGCAAACTACCTCTTTTGCTCCTTAAGTTTGGCTTGTGTTAACGAATAGTAGTGCTTCATCCTTGGATATCCCAGCATTTGGCCATGCTGGAGCTCCTTAGCCACAACCAATATACATTATCTCATGGTTAAACTGCCCATATCCTGACGGTGGCACATCCTTATCTGTATTCAAGATGGTTTCTGAAGGGACAAATGTTAAAGTCAACACTGGTAATTAATGTTATTAAATGAGAAAATTGGTGATAGCCCATAAAAATCCACATAAACAGTTGAACAGGCACCAGCAATGGGTCCAAGATAAGTTTGAGCCAAAACTTCCCCACCCACTGATCCATCCCATGACCTCTGGTTAATCCCTTTAACACCTCCGTTTCCCTATCTGCAGTGCAGAGCCACTAAATCTCTTCACCAGAGCCCTCTGTGAGTCACAGTGGTGCTGTCACTACAGAAATATCAGTCCTTGGGGCAAACATGGCATTGCTGCCAGGAGCTGTGAGTGTGTGTGATGGTGGTCTCCTAACACTGCTTCTCCAGAGGTTTCTCCATCAGATTCATGTCTCCTAGATGTGCATTTGAGTCATTCTCATTGCTATTACGAGATGATTTATTAGCCAAAGAGCTAATTACAGGCTTTAGCCACTTCACTGCAGCTCTGCCACTCCATGCTGGGCAGGGTTTGTTAAAATCCATCACAACATATTCTGCTGCATTAAGCAGCGTGCTGAAGATTACAGGCAGTTCACACATTTCATGATCTGTTGCAAAAAACACTGTTCCCAGTGACGTTGTCATATTTGCTCTTTTTTCCCTCTCCTCCGTGATTGTCATTACTGTTTAGTGGCCTGTGAGCATCCAGATTTGAGTTTCCACAGAAATGAAAGGGTTGAGAAATTGAGAAGGCTTTGCACTTTCTTAAAAAACAATTTTTTTTTCAAAACAGTGAAACCCTTTGGCTGAAGGAAGATTGTACAGACCTGAGAAGAAGTCAGTAGTATAGACCTGTCCAAAAAGTCAGTGCAGCCACCCTTCAGAGTCATTAATTATCTGGCATAAACAGGGTGATTTTAAGTATAATTGGGCTAAGTGAGAGACTGACTGCCTCAACAATCCTAGAGAGTCTCTTTCAGCCTCCTAGTTTGTGTTATTCAATAATTTAACTTGATTTTGAGACATAATGGTGACCGTTCTCATACTACCTGCACGCTTCAAGAGACTGCTGGTACCTTGGACCAGAGAATTTGGATTCACTGAATTCCTGGATGTATTTGCTAATGGGATGCCAGAGTGCTGTAACAACATTGTGTTGATTTTTGCATTTGTTTTGCTGCCAGAGCACTCTACTCCTGAGCTGTGCAGCTTGGCAGGACAGAATGTCACACCTATGTCAAAGCAGTCTATGACCTCTCTGATGAGCATTGCCTGTAGTATTCCTGTCCCTTGTTAGATGATGTCTCAGGTGGGCTTCTGTCTTGTCAATGGGGATAATCTTATTTTGGACTAAACTCATCTCTTTATTCTCCTGCATCATCCGTCTTCTTCTCTCTTTCTCCCTTTTCTTCTTTCTTTTCCCTTCTTTTCCCCTTTCTGTTTTCCCCTCTGCTTTCTCGTTCTTCTTCTCTCTCCTCTCCTCTCCTCTCCTCTCCTCTCCTCTCCTCTCCTCTCCTCTCCTCTCCTCTCCTCTCCTCTCCTCTCCTTTTGTAAATGTAATCTGATTTCTCTGACTCAACTGTCTCTTTACTCCCTGAGAAATGTTTTATTGCTGCTCTGAATTTCCTAGACAGTAAAAAAAAAAAGAGAGATGGAAGGGAGAACCAGACAAAAGAAAGAAACATTCACACAGGCACACACACACCAAAAAAAAAAAAAAAAAAAAAGAGGAATAGTAAAGCCCCAGCTCTGTTTGAGCAGGTAGCCAAGGACACAGACAATAGAGAAGGAGTACTGTGGGTATGTCTCCATCATGATTATTTTCTTTCCTGCCAAAATTAGCATTCAGTCTGGAGCCACTGTGCTGCAGCGAGCCTCCGCTCTGGGGTCACCTGGCTTTAGAAGCAGACGTATGAGCTTGTTTGCAAATTGAATCAGCCCCCTTCAACAGAGCTTTTTAGTCAGCAGAGTTGCTAGATGAGAACTGAACGTAGCACCTGCATTGCAGGCTTGGAGAAGGTCCAAAGCAGGGTGGGTGGATATGTTGTGATGTTGTGTCCCTGAAGGGATGCTATCCTGCCAGCAGATCTTTCTTTCGGAGATGCATGCTAGACTAAGCAATCATTCTTGGCTTGTTTTCCTTCATAAGACTCAAATCTATCCCCTCCCATCACACAGTAGGCACCAATGAGCTCTAATTCAGCTTTTGCAGAATATCTTCTGCAAAATTCAAGAGATTTCCTCCTGGGAGCAGGAAAAAAACCTTTATTTTTGCTCTTGACTGCCTGCTCCCTCAGGACCTAAACCAGGGTAGCAAAGATCAGAACCACATCCTTCCATCTTAAGCAGAAGCTTTTCCAAGTGGCTCCAAGCTCAATTAAGAGGTGTTTTAAAGATACCCAGGTGGGACCAGCCTATCTGATGGTCTGTCGGTAACGTCATATTCAGCACTGATGGTGCCTAGATGCTTGGTCCAGTCAATAGCCAGCTCTGTATCTTTCCCTGTCTTTCCCAGAGATGTTTCATTTTATAACAGCAGTAAGTCACTGCAGACAGCATGCTTCGGGACAATTATTGTTCTTGTCAAGTGGTTTGAGCCTCTCAGCTCTGGGCTTTGTCCTCTATCACACCACCCAAGGCACACAATTATCACTCAGTGAGACCCTGCCTGCCATTCCTTATTGCACTTATGATAGCTCTGCCAATGTCTGGACACAGAGTGATGGGAGGAAATGAAAAGGAGGAGTGCTAAGGAGGCATATAAATAAGTAAGTTTTTTACTTACTTGTCAGCAGAAATGGCTGGAACTGCTAGATCTATCAGGTCAGAGAACAGTCTCCCCAATGGGAAGCACTAGTAGACTCAGCACTTACAATCAGTCCAATACAGTCAGCAAATTTCAGTGTAAGAAGCAGGGAGATTGGTGAGAGATGACCTGCCTGACCATGCCATGATCACTGGTGTTACCAGCTTCAGTGATCTAAGCGTACATGCTTGCTTTGTGTGAGCCTGTCCCTTGTCTGGTCTTGGCACTTACAAGCAGCACAGGCTGATTTCTAGCAGTGGAATCCCTGCTGATGATTTGCCCCATAGCCCTTCACAGGTCTGTGTGCTGTGAGACCCAAGGTGGTGCAGCTCAAAATGCTGCATATCTCAGGAGTAGGAAAAGCAAATATGTGATGTAGTTGCACTACAAGATCTCAGAAGTGTTTGACTCTGTGTCATGGCTCACAAAGGAGAGTGAGAAAATAAAAAAAAAGACAGAGCTGGGGAGAAAAAATAAAAGAAGAGCATCTATTCACAAAAATCATGGGAAAACACACTTATGACTGGCCGAAGGCAGATGAGAACAGGGCTGAGTCATACCTCAAATAGAATATGTAACTTACCAGTCAAGATGTGGGCTCAGTTGTAGTGAGTGATGCAGAAACACAGAGGTTCAATCCTAGCTCTAGTAAGCAAAGAGTCCAAAGAAATGGGATGTCAGTGGGCATGAAGGTTTATGCCTCCTGCTTATGGCTGGAAAATTGATGCAAAGAGGGATTAAATGCTTTGCATGGGGTCACACCAAGATCTGGTAGCAGTGACAGATACAGAATTTAATCCCCAGGCCCAAGGTCTAATCATAAAATTGGTGTTTGTGCTATTAGGGAAAGCAAAGCAACACTCAATAATAAAATGCTGCTTGCTTGCAGATGCTTCCCTGCTGCTGGATATGTAGCAATATATCTGGAGGTACATCATGTAATCACTCTTGGTTTGTTCATTAGAATCATAGAGTCATAGGATCATAGAATCGTAGAACCACAGAATTTTAGAATTATAGAATGGCTTGTGTTGGAAGGACACAAGGATGACTGGAAGGTCATCCAGTTCCAATACCTCTGCTGTGGGTAGAGTTGCCAGCCTCTAGATCGGGGATTAGATCATGTTGCCCAGGGCTCCATCCGATGTATAGTCCTAAATGTGCCCTAAACAAGCTACCAGAAGTCTTTGCTTTATGATATAACATCTCAGGATGATGCACCAAGAGGTTACCTCCCTATGCATGGCTGTGCAGTCACACGAGCCACAGCTTCACTGGTCTGTGAAACTGAGTTCCTTTAATGTAGGGTGCTTGTTAACTGGATGCCCAGAGGAGCTAGGAATTTGCAGATTACTGAAAAGCAAAACATCTATCTAGGCAGTCAGCTAATGTTTGCATAGCTGTTATAAATCTGATAGCTGTGATTTTTGCAGCTATACTCTCAGCCTGAGGGTAGTAAACTTCATGGTGAACTTCCAGGACACAAACAGTTGATGTGTTTATAGTGGCTTGTGCTCAAAATGTTAAGCTGCTAACAGAGTGGCAAAGTGGCCAAGTAATGTGACGGGCTCAGGCCTTGTTGTAAGAATATCTGATACCAGCAAATATTTCAAGAGACAAAGAACTGGTGCTGCAGAGTTCAAAACACAATGTGCTGTTCCTTTGAATTACAACAGCTCCTTCCAGCAGCTTTTTGGTGTTTCCTGATGAGATCCAGCCTTCCTTTCTGGAAAGCAGCGTCTCTTTCTCAGTTTGGTCCTCTCAATTCCCTGTAATTTTCTACTTTCATTTGATATGCATATTGGGAAACCAGATTTTGCAATCTTCAGGATCAGGTTTATATTTTTTGAGCAATTTTGCCCGTGCTGGAGGAAGTTGTGCAAGGCAATACATAGGAAACAGCCTTAATGATCTGAATGCTCATAGCAGGAGTATCCAGGAATCTCTGCTGTGAGTTCTACAGATAACCACATCAGCCCTTTTTTCTCCTCTGAAATGTATTTCCATCTTATTGTTACAGCTGAGCAAATCCTTTTCAAAGACTCCTCTTGAGTTCAACAGGCTTTGAACAGAGACCACAGTGAGTTAGAAGCTCCTGTGGTCTGAGCAGGTCAGAGCATCTACTCCTTGGTACTTGGCAAATTGCTCTGTTTTGCTGCTGTGCAGCCCACAAGCTATCTGGGCATGGCAACATGAGCATCCTCCTTCCAAGCTCCATCTGGCTTCATCCTTGGATCTCTTCCATGGGGATCTTGCGTATTCCCTCACATCCATTTCCAGTTCTGGCTCAATTCAGCTAAGCTAACAACACTAATATGTGTTTGTCCCCAGTGCTATAGGCAGATAAGATCTACAATCCCAGCTGGGCTCCTGCTGTTGGCTTTGGGATCCTAAGTGGGATGAAAGGCTCTGAGGGACTCCCATTCCCTGTCCCTTGGCAGCCCTGCCTATGCTCTGCTAACAGATAAATCCCAGTGCACACACACGAGGATCTGCTGAGACAGAAATTAGTGTTTTTTCAGGCACCTACATACTCAGCTTGTTACTTAAGGGTGACCAGTCATTCTGTATATGTGCTCCTTCCCATTTCCAGTTGACATTTGCAAAGTGCCATGCACAGGTGTTAGCAAAGCTCCCAAGTGACAGAAGATTAATTATTCTCTATTTTTCAAACACTTTCCTTCCCACTCCAGCCTTCCTATCCTTGCTCCTAGCTCCATAAAGCTGTGAAAAGGCACCGTTGTGAGTCCAAGTGGCTCTGCATCATCTTGCATCTTCCTGGCAGTGACACTGAGAAGTGTCATAAAAATGCTAATAGTGAATGAGGCTGGCGGATACAGCCCTATCAGGCAGGACTCTGCTAACCTGCAGCAGCTCTTTACTTCCATGGTAACCACAAAGCTTATACCTGTAAATACCCTACAACTAGATCATAATCACAGGGTTCTGCAGTTTAGTGGCTAATCATGTTTAGTTTGTCCAAAGAGAAATTACTGTGCAACTAGCACTCACTCTGCTGTAATGGACAGAAATCACCATACATGATTTACTCTGCAATTATATGACAATTAGTGGAAACAGAAAAACCTTACCTCTAAATGCTCAGAATTTTCACATTTCTGTGGAAAACCATGCTGAGACTTCTGGTGCTGGTGAACTCTTTTGTCTGTAAGACATATCCAGCAAAACCAGGCAGCTTGTTGAAGTGTATTTCATAGAATTATAGAATCGAAGTTGGAAGGGACTCTTGAAGTCATCTAGCCCAACTCCCCTGCAATAAACAGGGACCTACAGCTTGAACAGGTTGCTCAGAGCCCCATCCAGCCTGACCTTGAGCGTCCACAAGTTTGGGGCATCCACCACCTATCTGGGCAGAAATGTTATGTTTAGTCACACAGAGTGAGAACTTCTCTTTCTGTTTGTGTGGGAGCTTGTCCTGCTCCCAGTGCAGTACGATCTCAGGAGAATTCCTTATGTTCTGCAGTCGGTATAGCATGACACATTTCTTCCCTTCTTGACTTCCTCCCATTCTGTCCTTTAAGCAGCTGTTGTGACAATGCATCCTCTCCCACTTAGGATGCTTTTTGCCTTTTGGTGAAGCGTTAGAAGGAAGCTGTTGATGGAGATGCGCAGTGGGATCTGATGGGCAACTAAGTGAACCCTATGTGAACCAACTCAGAATAAACCAAAATCTGGCTGGAAAAAAATGCCCTAAATACTATGTCAGAGAAATCATCAAGCTGGGGGCTGGAAATGCCTCCAGAGACAAGCTTCCATTTTCTTCATTAAGACCAGATCCATGTACCTCAACTGTGCCTGACAAGTATTTGTTTAAGTCTGTCTCACTTTCTCTGAAGATTTCTATGCCTTTTTTAATACATGTTTTCTGGAAACTGGATACCACCTGAACCAGCTGAAGCTTTTCTGGTTCTGGATGGGGAAAAATAATTGCCTCCTGAGGCTTGTGTATATAGGAAACTCTGTCTAGTGCATTTCCAATTGAGATTTGTTTGGTTTTTTTTGGCAGCAACATGGCACTGTTGATTCGCAATCTGCTTGTGACCTTCAACAGTCCCCAGACCCTTTAATGCAACACTGGCCAGTCACTCCCATTCCACATTTGTTTGCATTGATTTCTCATACCGAAGAATGCTCACTACTTCCCTCTACTGAATTTCAGTTTGTTGATTTTGGCTTGCATCTACGATTTGTCAAGTTTGTTTTGAATTCTTAACTCAGCCTTTGGATGTTCTTGCACCCTCTCCCAGAGCAGAGTCATTCACAAAATCTGTAAGCATGATCTGCAGTCCATCAATGAAGTCAATAGTAAAAACATGGAGTAATGCCAGACCCAGGACTAAACTTCTTTTGAAAAGTCCTCCCAGCCCACAATGAATTTTCTGACTTACGGTTTTCACATGTACATTATGGTGGCTTCTTTTAGATTATGTTTCTCCATTTACATATTTATTTATTTTTATGGGACTCTCCTGCAGGACAGTAGCAAATACTCTACAAAAATCTAGATAAATCACATCTGCTGCCTCCTCTTATCCACAAAGCCATTAAGCCTGTCAAAAAAGGAAATTAAATTGAGTTGACACAATTTGTTCTTGACAAATCTATGCTGGCTGATTTTTATCACCTTATCATCTTGCAGGTGCTTATAAATTGATTGTTTAATAATTTGATGTACTTTCTTTCTGGGAAGCCAAGTTAGGCTGACAGGTCTGTAATTACACAGAAGCTTCATTTTCCCCTTTTTAAGGCATTTCTGAGATACTCGAGACTTCACTCAGCTTTCAAGAGCTCTTCAAAATGACACTGGCATAGATAAACATGGATATCTATTCAGCACCTATGGAGTACACAGCAGAGGTATATTTGGATGCTATATCCAAATACATACAATGCATACAAATATCACAGAATCTTGAAATTGCTCGAATTGCTGGAATTGCTCAGGTGGGAAAGGACTTTCAAGATCATCAAGTCCAACCTCAACCTAACCGTACTACCCTAACTCTAGCAACCCATTGCTAACCTTAGAGGTGCACCCAAGCATTGGCAGAATATCCTTCAGAACTGTGCTCCACAGCTAGAAAGTACTTTTCCCATCATGTGCATGTATGTTTAAAGTACAGAATATTCACCTAGCAGCTAGGATTCACATGTTACTGAGATGGATACAGCTTCCTTCACTGAGAACCACAGCTTTGAGAGCTTCCCCTGGCTTTCTTGGAGGTAATGACAGGTAGGGATCCAGGTGACAGCTCAATTTCTCTTGTTCACAACTCATGGTACCACTTCTTGCCCCCCGTGGAACCCAGCCTTTGGGCGTGAAGTTAACTCTGGGTTCATTTTTTCCTTTTCTTCTAGTATTCATACGAAGGAATGGAGATTAACAGCCTGCCGGTGGAGCTGACCGTTGTATGGAACGGGAATTTCAACATTGACAACCCAGCACAGAACAAAGGTAAAGAATTATTTCAACTTGTCCTTGGAAGTGGTAACCTTAGCAACGGGCCACATCCCTCCCTACACTTAACAAAGCTGCTACCATCTCCCTGCGCTGTCTGCTGCAGACTTGTTCTCTGCACTCTGCAAATTGCCAATTTTTTTGTGCTTTGTGATTTTTTTTTTCCCTCTGAGAAATACCACTCTTCCTCCCACTTGCATGGCTTTCTCTCATTTTTCATCACCTTTGCATCCTGCTTCTCCCTTTTTTTTTTTTTTTTTTTTTGTGTGTGTGTGTGTGTGTGTCTTCCTTCCTTACTCCTCCTGCCTTCTCCCCCTATTTCTCCTGGAGTGATGCTCTTCAATTTAACACGCCAGGAAAGTGGGCACTCTTTGCTCATAGGTGAGGTGGTAATGAACAGAGGAAGGGAGAGGGGGAGGAAGCAGGCTGCAGCTTTGTCAGTGGGAAGAGACTGAACAAAACAAAACGTTAACAGCAAAGGACTGACATCTTCCTCCTGCCCGGAGTCTGACTGTTTAATTGCCATGCATGGCACAGAGTTGCTGTGCATCTCACAGAGGGCTATTGCTTGTCCAACCCTGAGACAATTGTTTTTGCCAGAGATGGGAGGTTCGTTCACGTCCTCCTACTTCTTCTTGTCCATCACCCTCAACCACATGGCAGATTTTGCCCCAGATTCCCTCTGCTCTCAGCCTTTGCATTCACAGCTCAGACCTGCAGCCTCTCCTTCTCACACCACCACCTCTCAGAAGTTTCTCCCTCCCTCACTTTACCTTCCTTTTCCTTGGACACTTTCCACTGCTTCTCCCACTCCTCTCTCCCAGTCACGTACTTCCAAATTCTTTTCATACCATTTCACACCCAACCTTGAGCTAAGCCGCGATGGATGAGGTTTCCACCAACATCTCGTTGAAGCTGGAGAGCGATACAGAAGGCAACTCTTCATCCCATGTTGTGACTCCTTTCCATCAAAAAATGGCTTGGATTATACCATTATGTTTTGTAGCGGGAGGATAACAGCCAGATACACTTGGCTGTATCACGTGGAAGCATAGCACATGCTTTCATAGACACACAGAACTTTATTTACTAACACAGATGTAGTATTTAAGAATAAGTAAAATCCGCTAGCAGAGCTTTTGAGTAGATCTTCTTCTTTGGAAAATTGAGAGAGATACAGAGGCAGGACAAGTGGCAATATTAATGGGCAATGTTAATGATAGGTGGGCAGTTAGATTAGATGATCTGAGAGGTCTTTTCCAACCGTATGATTCAATGATTAGCTTCAGTGTCTTTCTAAGTGAAGTTGCACTAAAGGTACATTGCTTCCAAGACCAACCAAGATGCCACCACTGATACAGCCAACAACTCACAGGCTGGGCTGGTAGACTGAAAGCCTACATTAAAACAAACATTGTGAGCAGAGCAGTTCGACAAATAAGGAAAGCTCTGTGCCCTAAGAGGCTTGCAGCATGCTGAGGTTGACAGTATTTCACAATTTTTTCTTGCAACCAACCTGGAGAAATAAAAAGTTTCCAAGGTTTCCCCTGCATTGGTCAATACTTGCTGACTTCTGAGAGAATGGGGCATAGGTATAGTGTATAGAGTGAGAGCTAAAGCTTTCCAGCAAGAAGATTCAAAAACCTTTGAGCTTTTGGATTGTGCATGATAATAACCACAGACAAGACTTTAGTCACTTACTGGCATGGCAGCACAAAAGTACAAAGGGAAAATCCCATATCTTACAAAGAAAACCACCAACATCCACATAAGTACAGAAATAAACTAATCTGAAAGCCTCAGTTCTGCCATCTTCAGCCTCAGGGAGCAGCTTTTTGCTATTAGCACCCTGTGCAACTCAGGCCTCAGTTTACTCAACTGTAAAATAAGGATAAATAGCATGATCTCATTTCATAGTACTGCAAGAATTTTAGGCTTTATTTGGAAAAAAGCTTTGACTGCCTATAATCACTTATTAGCAGCCCAAAACAGAGCTAAGCACTAATCTTTGCTGTTGGTATTAGAAGGGGATCAACTGAGTACTTCAAAGTATAAAGTAGTCTGAATTTTTGGAGCAGAAGAAGAGGGAAAGGCTGATGGTAAAACTCTGCGTTCAGCCTCACATACAGAGCTACTGTGATTTTATTGTTCTGTCTTAGATTTTCTGTTTAGGGGAAAACCTGAGTAGCTTTACGCTCAGTTCTGGGTAGGGTATTCCAGGAAAATTCCTCACATGGAGTTTAGATGGTTGGGTAGAGCAGGTGTAGTAAGCCATTTATAGATGGAGAGCTGGGACTTGTTGAAACATCACTGGATGCCATTCAGACATTCTCAGGAAAACGGAAGGGCCAAGGCCATGTCACTGGCCAAGTATCTTTCTTCCCAATGTCTCTCTTGCAGTCCATCGTTCTACACTGATGGCTGCATCCCTCCTGCTCTCAGCTTCTACAAATAGGGAGATATTCAAGACCTGTCTGGACATTTTCCTGTGCAACCTACTCTAAGGGGTAGCAAACCCCCTTAGTAGAGGGGTTGGACTATATAATCTCTAGAAGTCCCTTCCAACCCTTACAATTGTGTGATTCAGTGAGATATTTTGCATGGGAGATGAACTCTGACAAGTGTAATTTGTTTCACTGAGGGTATAAGCAATTTATCCTGTATTATTTATTCCCCTGCATAAGCCCCATCCTGCCTCTGGGACGAGCATCCCAGCCCTCACCTCATTGCTGTCCCTGACATCTCACTGCTCACCCATTCTGTCTGCATCTCTGAAGTCCTCTCTGTTTTCCTGTCCCTGCAGTTCATCTGTACAAGTGTGGGGCCATGCGGGACAGCTGTGGCCTGTGCCTGAAAGCCGACCCGGACTTCGAGTGTGGCTGGTGTGAGGGGCAGAACCAGTGCACGCTGAAGCAGCACTGCCCAGCCCAGGACAGCCAGTGGCTGGAGTTGTCCAGCACCAAAGGCAAATGTACCAACCCCAAGATCACAGATGTAAGTCATGGATCTTCAAGAGCCGGTAGATTCCCTCTTGTACCCTTCCCTTGGTTTATTTTCTTGATTGGTCTTTGGGTTGGTGAGGGGAAGGTCAAGATTGATCTCTGCTGGATCAGGCAAAGTCCCAAGTGACTGTGGGGATGAAGGGCTATGGTGTGCTTCAAAAAGAAGCACACAGCTTCAGGTGTGATTTCTCACCATAGTCAATATGAACATGAATGATTTGCGCATCACAGTCTCCTAGTGGAAGACCTCAGGGCATCTGAGTGGCCCAGATGTGGTTGACAAATCTGACATGCAGCATTCAGGAGACCTGGGCCTTCTAGAGGTGAAGTTGGAGGCGAAAAAAGACACTTGGGGGTGTCTCAAGTAGACTATGTGAAGGTTGTCAAAGGAGCACAGCTCTCCTGAAAGGAGCTCTCTGGCCAAACTGGATGAGAGGAGATATTGAGTGATCCCAGAGTGTTTTGAGATTTACTGACAGGAGGTCAAAGAAAGAGGGCAGGTTGTAGTTCATGCTTCCTGGTAGTAGAACACAAGCAAAGTCCCTGCCTGGGGAAGAAAGGACTCCACTAACTACTGCAGAATGAAGTTCTTGGGTTTGCCTGGTTGTCTTTGCAAGGCGAAAGATATCCCATCTGATCAGTCAAAGCCCTGTACCAAGATCAGCCTTCCCCTTTTGAAGGCTCAAGGAAGAGGCAAGCTCAAGTCAAGACTAAGTGAAACAGTCTAATTAAGTGATAAAAAGAGAATGAAGGCAATGATGGGTGGACATCACAAAGTTGCAAAGTCCTTTGGAATGTATCCTATTGATTATGCTGATCAGGCCAAAGGAAGAGCTGGGGGAGAGATAAAAAAATAGAAAGAAAATAAAGAAGGGAAACAGAGGAAGAAAGAGACAGCAAGGAGGGGGAATCAGGACTCCAGTCTACAGTGATTTTATCTGCTCTTAGGATGCTTTTGCCATAATGGTGGGCATCATTTTCAAGGACATAGGCAGATAGAGTGACAGATATGAGCCATAATAATGGGAAACTGCACCCTTACCAACTGCACCCTGACTTAAGCATTTCTCAGTCACTGTACCTTAATTAAGATGAGTAAACGTGCAGAATGAATAGGGCCTTATTTTGCAACTGAGAATGGTAAGGAAGAAAATGAGATGGGAAAGAAGAGGGGAAAGACACTGAGGAATATCTAGCCTCTTTGGTTATTGTTTAATATGGAACGTAAGTTGGACTCCTTTTCTAGAAACCAAGGAATCAAAGAATCAAAAAGTATGGGTACTATAAATGAACCCTAAACCTGTGTCTATGGGTGAAATGGTTTTGTCTATGTCTATGATTTCATGAGAGCAAACTCTGGGTAGAGTCTTGTTTTATCAGATGCTACTGAAAAGAGCTTCTCTGATTTTGTTTCTGTCCATCTTCCTGTAGTCTGTCACTCTCCAAGTACTCAGTGAGTTGGACTGCCCAAGTGCCATACCAATTATGACGTTTCCAAGGTGGAGGTCTCCACCATGCTTGCATTTGTCTGCAGCTGGTCAATCTGAATGCACTTGAAGCTGTGAAACCAGGCCCAATGACAGCCAGAATAAATGGTTACTCCTGAAAGTTCACTTCTGAGGCCTTGAAAATCACAGGGAGCTGAGGGGAAAGAAACCTTTATGAATCTTTTAATGTCTCAAACCTTAAGAATGACTTAAGGTTAAGAAATTTTAGATTGATTAATAGAATTTGGTATTGAGAAGATGACAGATGACCAATTAAAACAGAAGTCCACACCACAAGGACCTTCCCATGCAATAGCACGCTGTTCTGAAGGTCCATCCACATTTCTGTACCGTGCTTTGACTCACATGCGTTACCTACAGTCTCCTTATGAAGTGAAAATCACTCATTCTCCACGTTACAGCTCCAGAAGGAACATACTTCCATTTCTGCTGGCATTTCCTCCAACAGCTCCCAGAGCTCGAACAGATTATTGCAATATTCGCTCATGAAATATTCCAACTGTCTGGTGCGATCATAAGTAGCTCTTGCAAAGTCTTTTTCTGAGCCATTAGCATGGAAGTAATCTCAAGTGACTGGATATATATTGCAGCTAATGGTACGTCTGGAGAGGTTGGTAAAAGCGTGCATACCCTGGCGAGGAGCCAGGGAAATATCTGTGCAGGCGAGGGAGGAGAAATAACATGTGTCCTCACACTTGCACAAGCACACGCACGTGGCAACCCAGAGCACAGCTTCCCACAGCCTGTATTTATTTCCTGGCTCCGGCATTTATATTGCCACTAAGTGAAATTAAAAGGCTTACAGATTCGTTCAGCCACAGAACCTTCTGTAGGAGTGACAATTCAGGGCCTGGATGGATGGGGCTTTGAGCAGCCTGGTCTGGTGGGAGGTATCCCTGCCTATAGCAGGGGGTTGGAACTTGATGATCTGAAGGTCCCTTCCAAACCCGAACCATTCTGTGATTTGCTTGGTATTAGCCAAGGGCGTAAACTGTGATGAAGTGTCGTAGCTCTGGGTCTTAAAGAGAAAGCTGAGGCTTCTTGGCAGCTTTCACATCCCTGCTTGTGTTTCCCTCTGCAAAAACTGGCAGGTCTCTTTCCAGATTTTTGCACCTACGATAGAAACAGGCTCCTTCTCTCTTGCTGTGAAAACATTGCAGTAGCAACTTCTTGTTGTAGGCATCTGAAGGAGTGCGATGAGTCAGGCTTAAAGATTTCCTGCACCCATTTGGGGGAATTCCAGTTCCCCCTGCTTTAAGGAACTGAGTTGGCTTTGAAGTTAGCCTTCAAAAAAAGGGAATCACAGAATCACAGAATCATAAGGTTGGAAACGACCTGCAAGATCATCTAGTCCAACCACCCTCCCATTCCTATTAGTACTACAGCTACTAAACCATCTCTCGTAGCTCCTCATCCAGGCACCTCTTGAACACCACCAGGGACGGCGACTCCACCACCTCCCTGGGCAGGCCATTCCAGTGCCTGACCACCCTTTGAGAGAAAAAGTTTCTCCTAATGTCCAACCTAAACCTCCTCTGGTATAACTTCTTGCCATTTCCTCGGGTCCTACTATTTGCCTGGGAGAAGAGGCCAGACCCTTTCGCACCACAACCTCCCTTTGGGAGATGTAGGTTAGATAAAAGGAAAAGGGTGTGGTTTTTTTTAAGACAAGGGTGGAGTGAGGCTCTGGAACAGGTTGCCCAGAGATGTAGTGGATGCCCCATCCCTGGAGACATCTAAGGTCAGGCTGGATGGGGCTCTGGGTACCTGATTGAATGATAGGTGTCTGTTCATTGAAGGGAAGTTGGACCAGATGAGCCTTAAGGGTCTCTCCCAGCTCAAACAATTCTATGATTCTATAAAAATGTAAATATTGCATTGTTATAAGGGGGATTTTCAGAGCTAGCTTCAATCTAGGAAGATTCCTATTTGAGTTACTGTAAGTTTTTTAAATTCTCAGGCTTTAGTCAGAGCCAGAAGGAGGATCATGATGTTTCCATTGAGTTTCTGAGACTTTTGTCTCAAACTCTCCCATAGTTTTAAAAAATGAGGGACTTTTCTGACAAGATGTTCCTTTTTACCACTGCTATTCTGTGTAGTAACAGTGGTTATACCACCGAAGAAACCTCTTTTGACCTGCTATGAGATACATCTACATACTAGCAAGTTCTTTTGAAGATAAGTGAGCCCTAATTAACCACAGACCTACCTATCTGGACACCTGCCTTGCTAGAACAAGTGAAAACTACTTAACAGCAAGTTTAATGCCACAAAATGATAGCAAAATATTCCATAGGGACCTGACATTTCTTACAGGAAAAAAAAAAAAAAAGTTGAATATGTAAGGAAATATAATAGAAAGTGGAAATTGTGATTTAATTTTCCCTTTTCACTTTTTGTACATATTAGATTGGTTTGGTATGGTGATAATGCGAGCCTTTCAGCGACATTCACAGAAAGAGTTTTATTTTATCAGGAGAGGATTAACCGATGTTGGCAAAATGATTATTTAAAATACAAAACTTCCCTTGAATAGATATTTATTAGTGATTCAGAATCAAAATAGTGTAGAATTGCTATTTTTGGAAGATTGTTTAAGTTTCCATTGCGGAGCCCCCAGCTAAGTACATCAGGATTAGTTTCTTAGAATATAAATTCCATTTTAATTTTAATTTTTTAAGATACATTCCTTGCGTTCCTTTTTTATTATTATTATTATTTAATTTTATTTATTTATTTTTTTATTTTTAGGGAAGATAACCACTTTCTCACTTTTTACCCATTGTCTGTCATCCAAGGGTGAAATCTTCAGCCAACCCAAATAAATCTCATGTCAGTTTCATGAATGTTGTGCTGTTTTGATTTTAGGACTTAAGTGTCGTGTTGACTTGTAGAGCAGGAAAAAACTTTCTACAGCTCTGATGGAATTTGGCCGTTTTTTGGACCTGAAATGGTTGCCTGACCTGATTAGAGCCTATCTTCTTCAGTGCAGGCTTGAAGTTGCTGTGGCACTGGGACATCAGAAATAATCAGGGCCTATCACTGCAAGTATCAGACTGGGGTGCAGCATGGAGACAACAGGAATGTAAATTCCAACTCTGGCTATTTGGAATTGTTGCACCTTGCTGTAGCAGAACCCCTCTCTGTCTCTCATCTGGCTGAAAAGACTTTGCTTAATTTCACTTTACACTAAAGTTTCTTCTCACAGTTTCCTACCTGGGCCACTGTAGGGAACTTGTGCTGCAGAATTTATGTCGACACCAGAGTAACCTATAGTACTCGTATGTGATCATCTGTGCTATTAAATTATTTATGCTTGTAAGCTCCCAGTGCAGTCAAAGCAAAGACAGTCATCAAGGAAGTGGTTTGTGGTGTCCAATATTAAACAGTCACAAACAGAGTATCCTCTAAGGGTGCCAAAGCCTTTCACTGTTAAAGATGTACCTGGAAAGACACTGGAGCAGGCTGTCCAGACTAGCTGTGGATGCCCCATGCCTGAAATGTTTAAGGCCAGGTTGGGTGAGACTTAGGACAACCTGATCTAGTGGAAGATCTATGTGTTTTTTGTCCTGCTTTCAACAGGAGAGTTGAAACTAAATGATGTTTAAGGCTCCTCCCAACCCAAACTGTTCTATGATTCTCTGATTTTATGACCTGAAAATTGGCCTCTCAGTCAAAATTAAGCTAACTCTGGTGCCAGACTCATGGCTGGGAAGCAGTCAAGAGCAGCCCTGCTCATGCCAGTCCCTCTACTTTGCCTGCTAGTCAGATTGCTTTGGAAGGATCTAGCTGCCAGCCCAGGATTCCCAGTTGTCATTGGCCAAAGGGTACGGGCCTGAGAAAGGGAATTCCCCTTTCCTCACTGCACAGATAGCCTTGCCAAGATTGGCAGATGGCAGCCACGACATCCTGAATGGGCGGCAGGGAATACCATTAGAAGGCCCTTTCAGCCGTCCAGTCATATGGCAAAACATTTGGACGCAGTAAATAATTAGAAGGGCAGAACTGAGATAACTAAGAGTCAGCCCCCTAATTTCCATGCTGTTTCAATGTTGAGTAGGTGTCTTCAAAGCTAATTTTCACCTACTTCTGAACAAGCGTGATGGATGCAATGCAGAGTGCTCTCCTCTTTACACATTCCCTCTGCATGGACCAGAAATACTGCATGGTGATTGATAGCTTTGAGTGAAGTTCTACAATGGGAGAGAAGAGAGTACTGAAACTCAGAGGGTGCTTTGGCTCTGCTGCCCAACAGAGCTGCTGCTGAATGGAATGCAGCAATCCTACTCTCCTAAGGTCTGGTAAAGGTCAAGACTGTGGTGCAAATGTCATGTCACCAAACACCAGGAGCACTGGGACATCCATTCATTTCAGACCTCCCAGCCAATAGTCCACCACCCTACAAACAAGCCATCCATGCTCCCATTATTGCCTTCCCACTGGACCCTGCTCTCCCATGAAGGTAGCTGGAGAACTTCTGGAGATATGTATTGGTGTATAGCAACTACTGCTATTGCTTCTGTCACTGTCAGTCTACTCTGCACCTAATCTGACACTGTTTCTGTTGTGTCTTGGATGCTATTTATGCAGATGGACATATTCAGCTGAGTTCATGAGGCATACCTGATAGCACCCTCCAGAACAGATCAAAAACTTGAACTTTGGGCTGGGAATTCACATCATAAACTGACTGGCTAAAGCAACTTATTTCTTGTTCTTTCTCTCATTTATTTGCACCATGGCCCACTCCTGCTTTTTCGTAGTTTATGTCTGTAAAATGCAGAACTCAGTGGCATTGCAGCATTGGAAGCCCTTGCTTCTACCTGGAAGACATCTCCTACCCCTCTCTATGTGTTTTGCGAGTAGTTGGAAGAGAGAGAAATGATATCAGAGGCAGAATTTTGGATAGTCTGAGGTTGGACCATATGTAAAATACAGTATATTTGCTAGAGAGATGGACCCAGTGATGTATCTGGAGTAGTTTGATTACTTCAGTTGATGAGTATTTATGAGCGTCTTTAGTGGTGACAAAAAGGTCTCATACTGCCTCATAGGATGATGTTGTATTTACAAAGGTAAATTATTCTCTTTTTTCCTGACTTGTTTCTCCAGATCAACCCAGTGACAGGCCCTCGTGAAGGAGGGACTAAAGTTACCATCCGTGGGGAGAACCTGGGGCTGGAATTCAGAGACATTGCATCTCATGTTAAAGTGGCTGGAGTGGAGTGCAAACCACTGGTGGAAGGGTACATCCCAGCAGAGCAGTAAGTTGGGTGTGTGGCAGACAGTGGGCCACAGAACATCTAATAATGATTATTGCTACCTGTGTGGTCTTTGAGGAGTCCATTCCCTCTAGCCTCCCTAGAGTCCAAAGAAGATGCCACTCCTCACTAACAGCTCAGGTGCTAATAATGCATTTATTAGTGTATTTGGTATATTTCGTGTGATCATCATTGGTGTATGGCATAAAATTATCTATTTTTCAAATAGCAGCCACCACAACGGTGTTCAAATGCAGTCTGTGAGGCCACAGCTCCAAGAAGCAGCTTTCTCCTTGCAGGAATGGTCATTAAGCCCTATAGATGCAAAGGTGTCCACCGTGCAAGACTGAAGGGCAGAGGAACTCCTGGGGCCAGATCTCTGTCCAGTATTTGTCTACATAATTAAGTGATGGTATGGTGGTTTGCAACAGCCCAACAGCCAACCATCTGCTTCACTGAGTAGAAATAAAGAAATAAAGCCACAATTTATTAAAAAAAAAAGAATGACTTAGTGCACAGTTTGGATCCTGGACTGGAAAGCAACAGAGAATGTGATAAGTCTACAGTCCATTTCCCAAGAACACAGACTATTTGTTCTGATTTCATCTCACCCAGTTTGCAAAACCATCCCTAAACCTTTGCCTCTGTTTCCTGTTTTCTCCACAGGATAGTATGTGAGATGGGGGAGGCCAAGCCCAGCCAGCACGCTGGATTTGTGGAGATCTGTGTGGCTGAGTGCAAACCAGAGTTCATGGCCAGGTCTTCACAGCTCTACTATTTTATGGTAAGATCCTGCAAGAAGATCTCCTGGGCCCTGAAGATCCTCAGACCCTGGTTCACTTCTCAGTGTCTGTTCTCTGACCAAACTCCATCTCTGTGCTCTTCACATCCTGAGTACACTTGTTCCTTCCATTTCCTTTCAAAATCATTTTTATGAGCAAAAATAGCTCTCTTAATTAATGTTTTAACAATCTATTAATAGTCCAAATTATTAGTCCAGCTTCAGTTTGATACAGCCATGGTCCAAAATAGTACAGAACATCTTCATTAATAGTTAAAAATGCTATGTAGAAAAGTAAAAAGGAAGAGAAGAAAGAAGAAAAAAGAAGAAAGAGAAGGAAAAGGAAAAGGAAAAGGAAAAGGAAAAGGAAAAGGAAAAGGAAAAGGAAAAGGAAAAGGAAAAG